ATTGTGATCTGTCGAGACCTTCAACACTTGGACTTCTCCACGCTCGATTACCCCTCTGACGAAATGCAGCCTCACATCTATGTGCTTGGTTCGCTCATGATAGGCTGAGTTCTTCGACAGGTGTATTGCACTTTGACTATCACATTTAACAGTGATACCTTGACCTTGAAGTTTCAGCTCCTTTGAAAAACCTTCAAGCCACAATGCTTCTTTCACAGCTTCAGTTAGGGCAATATATTCTGCTTCAGTAGTTGATAAGGCAACAACCTTCTGAAGAGTTGCTTTCCAACTAATTGCTGTACCAAACATAGTGAAAACATATCCAGAAATAGATTTTCTGGAATCCATACAGCCTGCATAATCAGAGTCAACATAGCCTTCGACAGCTGCTTTACTATCTTCGCCCAAGGCTCCACCATAAATTAAGACTCTGTTCAGAGACCCATTTATGTACCTTAGAATCCACTTTAACGCTTGCCAGTGAGCCTTTCCAGGATTCGCCATGTACCTGCTTACAAGACTTACTGCATATGCTATGTCGGGTCTAGTACAGACCATAGCATACATCAAAGAACCAACTATATTAGCATATGGGATGCTGTTCATATAGGTTCTTTCGACATTAGTACTGGGACATTGATCAATGCTCAGCTTGAATTGAGGGTTTGTTGGAGTCACAACAGGCTTTGAATTCGACATACCAAACTTGTCAAGAATCTTTCGTAGGTATGCCTCTTGAGATAGGCATAATTTCGACTGCTTTCTATCTCTTCGAATGTCAATTCCAAGAATCCTAGATGCAGCTCCCAGATCCTTCATGTCGAACTCCTTATTGAGTTCAGCCTTCACCCTCATTACATCTTCGACATTGTTGCTTGCTATCAGAATATCATCAACATAGAGCAACAAAATAACAAATGAATTTTCAGGTCGAAATCTGGAGTAAACACAATGGTCGAACTGACTTCTAATGAAACCTATGTGTTCCATGAACTTGTCGAATCTCTTATTCCACTGTCGAGGAGATTGTTTAAGTCCATATAAAGATTTCTTCAGTTTGCACACATAATCTTCTTTCCCCTTTTCGACATACCCTTCAGGTTGCCTCATCAGGATTGTTTCGTCTAAGTCACCATACAAGAACGCAGTCTTCACATCCATTTGTTCCAGTTCAAGGTCGAACTGAGCCACCATGGCAAGCAACATTCGAATGGATCTGTGCTTCACAACAGGGGAAAATACATCATTGAAGTCGACACCTTATTTCTGAGTGAAACCCCTTGCGACTAATCTTGCCTTGTACCTCTTCGACATTACTCCTTCAATTCCTTCCTTAACTTTGAAAATCCACTTACAGCTGACTAACCTTGCCCCAACAGGTTTCTTGATCAGTTCCCAAGTGTGATTATCATGAAGAGATTTCATCTCATCATGCATGGCCTTTAGCCATTCAGTCTTCATTCGACTCCTTATAGCTTCCTTATAATCTCTAGGTTCTTCGTCTAGAACTTCACTTGCAGAGATTAAGGCATAAGCTACAAGATCTGCATATCCAAGTCTCTGAGGTGGTTTTATGACTCTTCTTTGCCTATCTCTCGACAATAGGTAGTCATCAACAGTTTCCTCAACATCATCAGAATCTTCTGTTTCTTCTTCGACTTCATCTGGGATACGCATTTCAGCATCAACATGCTCCACCTCAACATGAATCTCTACCTGTTCCAGCTCTTCGTCAACATCATCAGTTTTCTTGAAAGCCATTTCAGTTTCATTGAAAACTACATCTCGACTGGTGATACACCTCCTGTGACCTGGCTCTAGGCACCATAGCCTATAAGCTTTCACTCCTTCAGGGTATCCCATAAACATGCATTTCAGAGCTCTAGGTTCGACCTTGTCTTGCCTAATGTGAGCATAGGCTACACAGCCAAATACTCTTAGTTTGTCGAGATCTGGTGGATGTCCCGACCAAACTTCTTCGGGTGTCTTCATATCTAACACTGTCGAAGGACATCTGTTTATCAGATATGCTGCTGTCGAAACAGCCTCAGCCCAAAACACCTTCTTTAATCCAGCACTAGTCAACATGCATCTAACTCTCTCCAAAATAGTTCGATTAAACCTTTCAGCCAAACCATTTTGTTGTGGAGTACCTGCGGTCGTTCTGTGCCTTGCAATACCAGAGGCAACACAAAAACTGTCGAACGCCTCATTGCAAAACTCAAGGCCATTGTCGGTTCTCAACCTCTTTACCTTTCTGCCAGTTTGATTTTTGACAAGAGTCTTCCAACTTTTGAAATTCTCAAAAGTTTCATCCTTAGTCTTCTGGATGAATACCCATAACTTTCTGGAATAGTCATCTACTATGGATAGAAAATACTTTGCTCCTGAATGTGATGGACACCTTGCAGGCCCCCAAAGATCAGCATGGATGTAATCAAGGGATCCATGTGTTCTTTGTTTGCCTTTGTTGAACTTCATTCTACAGGACTTTCCAAGTACACAGGGTTCACAAAACTTCAGCTTTTCGACTTTATCTCCACCAAGCAGATTTTGTTTCCCTAATTCAACCAGACCCCTTTCACTGACATGGCCCAATCTCATGTGCCAAATTTCTGTCTTCGACAAAGGTTTCGTGGATGCAACATTTGTCGAACCACTTACAACTTCAGCCTCAAGGGTATACAAGCCTTGTTTCTTCACGCCTCTCAAGACTTCCTTCGACCCTTTCATGACTCTCAGGATACTTTTCTCTCCTTGAAACACATATCCTTTCTTGTCGAATTCACCAAGAGAAATCAAATTTCTCTTCAAATCAGGTACATACCTGACTTCAGTCAACAATCTTATTGACTCATCATGGAGCTTGAATCTCACAGATCCAACGCCTGCAATCTTGCAAGCTTTGTTGTTTCCCAGCAATACAGATCCACCATCTTGATCACATAATTCCTCGAACAAGTCTTTGTTTGGAGTCATGTGCCAAGTGCATCCAGAATCCATAATCCACTCCTTCGACGAGTTGTTGCTTGAAACCACAAGAACATCAGATGATTCGAAATCATCTTGGACAATAGCTGCATTGCCATTATCCTTACCTCCATGATCTTTCAGGCGTTCAGGGCACACCTTTCTTGTGTGACCTACTTTCTTACAGTGATAGCATCTAATACCAGATGCATCACCACTATAAGACTTCGACTGATTTTTCTTTTCTTTCCTCTTGTCGAATTTTCCTTTAACAGCCAAACCTTCACCAACCGTCGAAGGTTTATGCTCCTTACGTTCGTTCAAGTCCTTAGAGTACAAGGCTGATTGAACTTCTTCAAAGGTCAGGGACTCTCTTCCATACAAGAGGGTTTCTTTGAAGTGAGCATGTGATCTGGGCAAAGCGCACAACAATAACAACGCTTGATCTTCATCATCAATCTTTACATCAATATTTTCAAGATCAAGAATCAGCTTGTTGAACATATCCAACTGCTCAGCCAACACTTTGTCTTCAATCATCTTGAATGAGTACAAAGCTTGCTTCAGGTAGAGTCGATTTACCAGAGATTTGGTCATATACAAACTTTCAAGTTTCACCCATAACCCTGATGCCGTCGTCTCCTTTGATACCTGTCGAAGAACCTTGTCACCAAGGCTCAACAGAATTGCGCTGTGTGCTTTCTCGATCATGGCCGTCTTCTCTCTTTCTGTTAGCGCAGCGTCCATCGCCGTCGCTCCCTTCAACGCTTCCAAACAACCCTGTTGAACCAGTAGGGCTTTCATCTTCAAGCGCCATAGACCGAAATCATTCACTCCGGTGAACTTTTCAATCTCATACTTTGTTGAAGGCATCTTCTCCACGCTCACCGCACCAATTTGTTTTGAATTCAATGCCAATAACAAAGTATAGAATAAGGGAAGAATAAAGAACAAGGAAGAAGAAGAACACAAGAATTGGTTATAACTGCTATTCTTTACTTTCTCTTAGAAAACAAGATTACAAGTTTACAAGAATAACAAATAACCCTCTCACCCTAAATTAGGATTTGCTGTGTTGCAATGATGAGAGACTAGTATGCTATTTATAATAAAACCTAACATACTAACTAATGGGCTTTTTCCACAAGGCCCATTATACAAGCTAACTTAACAATCAAGCTAACTTAACAAATTAGGGTTTAAACACTAAAACCTAATTTAACAAGCATCCTTCGACAAATACATGCTAGACCCTTTCTTCGACTACAGCATGTACTTCGATCATACTAGAGTTCGATCCAATATTCCACAATATATATATATATATATATATATATATATATATATATATATATATATATATATATATATATATATATATATATATATATATATATAAATATATAGATCACATATATTAATTATCCAATAAATCTAAAAAGCAAAATTTGCTTATAAATCCTTACGGAGGGAATATATTCTCTCGGTATCAAAATAAATTTCTCATTTATAAAGTTTATATGTTTTAAAATTTAGATTAATTGCTATGCACCGTCCGTGTAAAATATTTTAAACAATCAATACATTACAATCATTCACAAGTGATACTTTATATGTAATAGAAAAAAAAGTCATATATCTATAAAAATTTAACGGCTATGATTGATCGACAAATATAAAAATTCTTTAAATCTTCTTTACATAGTATAAAACTTCTTGTATTTCAATTAAATTATTTAAAATAAATATTTTTTTCAGTTTAAAATGCATTTTAATATTTATATTTTAATTGTATTATCTAATTAATACTTTTATTTTAATATTTTTTTTCATCTTATTAATATTTAAACACATTAATAGTGAATAAAAATAATTTGGTAAAATAAAAGTGAGAAGGATGAGACGCGAGTACTAGTTGATTTCATTTTATATTGTTCTGGTCCTAAGTTAGGGGTTTGGGTTTTTGAAGTAGAAAAAGTTTGTAGGGTTTAAGAGTTAGAACAGTGACAAGAATACAGAACTCCATTAGAATGGGATTCGGAAAATTCTCAATCTCAAACACAACCACGCTCTTTCGCTCTTTACTTTCCACACCCACTCTCCATCATCACCACCACATTCCACTCCGCTTCTGCACCACCACCAACCCCCCCTCCGATCTCGACGACGCTGACTCAGCCACTCCTTCCCCCTCACCCGAACCAACCGAAAGAGCCTTCTACGATCGACCCCTCGAGAATGGCCTCGATCCCGGCATTTACAGAGTAGTTCAATTTCTCCACCAATCAATTAACTAATTATTCTTGATTTCATTTTGATTTATTGCCATTGAATCTGAATTTGTCTGTTGTGTGATTCTGTGAGTGTAGGCGATATTGGTAGGCAAAGCAGGGCAAAAACCGTTGCAGAAGAAACTCAAGAGCGGTACTGTGGTTACTCTGCTGTCAATTGGAACCGGTGGTATTCGCAACAATCGGAGACCTCTGGATCATGAAAACCCTAGGGAGTATGCTAATCGATGCGCCGTTCAGTGGCATAGGGTTACAGTTTATCCTGAGAGATTGGGGAATCTTCTCATGAAAAATGTTCTTCCTGGTTCAACTTTGTATATTGAAGGAAACCTTGAGACTAAGGTTTTCTCTGATCCTATTACAGGACTTGTTCGCCGAATTAGAGAAGTTGCTGTACGTCGACAGGGTAAATTAACCAACTTTTCAATTCCAGCTGATATTATCAAAAATGTTTTCAAGTGCTTCTTAGGGTTTCTTTTAGTTTTTAAATGGGGGAACTCAATCTCCTACCATATGGCTATGCAATAGTGTTTCATTTATAATCTGTTACGGTAGTGTTATCTCTTACACAGCTCAATTGTATGTTATTATAATAAAGTCACATTGTTTTTATGTGTTATGATGATCTGATCTCATGTGTGGTAAGATTAGAGATGAAAATATTAGAGAGTGTTGGGGTAACACCTATAATAGAAAAGAGAAAAGATGGTGTACAATAGACTTAGGTGGTCTGGGCATGTAGAGAGAAGACCTGTAGATTTTGTGGTAAGGAGAGTAGATTAGATGGAGAGGAGGTAAACAACTAGAGGTAGAGGAAGACCTAAAAAAACTATAAGAGAAGTTATTAAGAAAGATCTTGAGATTAATGAGTTGGATAAAAGTATGGTCCTAGATAGAACATTATGACAGAAGTTGATCCATGTATCCGATCCCAGTGGGATAAGGTTTGTTTGTTGTTGTTGTTGTTGTTGTTGTTGTATGTTTGTTCTCCCAAGTTATGCCAAAAAGTTTATGGATATAAGTTGAAAATAGTTTATGAACATGCCATAGAAGTTGTTTCTATAAAGTTATCACTAGCAATCAAACAAGCACTTATGCTTTTAGATAAACTCAAATAAGCTAATTCAACCTGACTCTTAGTGACGGAGAATGAAAAAGGATGATAGAGAGTATTGTAGAACTTTCAAGGAACACTATTAAATAAAGATATAAGAATTAGAAGACTTTAAAATTTTGATATATTTCTAGCCATATGAACTAGAGTGTTCTTATTTACTAGATTTTTCTTTTGCATTTATTCTTGTCTTTACTCCAGAATTTTATCTTTTTTAAAGCCCTACAGAAATAGTATGAATAAGGCTCATCACCAAACATTTTTGAGTAATTTGAGATTTCTCTTTTTCATTACCTTTCCTTCTGTCCTTGGGCCAATTAGTCTTTGCATACATTAAGACCCACAAGTTTCAAAAAGTTTTCAAGTTTATAATAAGATAAGTTTTGTTCTTTTCATGTATTTAGTTGCAAATTAAAGGTTGAATCAATAAAGATAAGTTATTGAAGTGTTCCGTTTGGTTCACATGCCAATGAGAAAGCTCAAACTTGGCTCATTTAGTAAACCAGTTAAAATTTGTAGTCATTCTCTATTTTCCCTCATTTTCCAATTGAAACATGGATTTCTTTTGGAAGTTGCATTTGAAATTCAACAGAAAATGTTGGCACAAATGGATAGAAGTGCTAGAGATAGTCACTCTAACACACTCTCTTTGATTGAGTAAAATTCATGTAGTCTCCACCACATTGAAAAGGACTCCTAGTTAAAAAATGGTATGTTTGACATGAATTTTACCTAATAAAAAAGAGTTGGGGAAAAGTGTTTCTAGCACTTTTCCTTTCCATAATATATGTAGCACTTTCACGTATGGGGTATTTAAGGTTGAAGATTTTTTGTAGCTTATGTTTAAAATAGTATTTGACAGATGAGAAAAGATTGTTTAGGAATAAGAAGTCTTTGACTTAATGAGCTACAACTTCTTGTCTTCCGCAGGTCGTGTTGTATTTTTAAGTCCGGGTGATGATTCTGAGCAACAGGCACAACAAAATGACCTGAGAGCTGTTGGCTATTATTAAAGCGTATGCTTCAAATGGGAACATGGGATTCAGTTGGCAGGGGAGAATTTTTTATTTTGTAACTATATTCTGTATTTTTATCTGAAATTTGTAACTGTTAGTGACATTTGCTATATTGCAAACTCTTGATCCGAGTGATCTTGCTCTTGCTCTGTGCAATACAAGGAATATATAGCTCAACCTTCTTGCTTCTTCTGTATGGTGGCAAACTTGTGACAGGGCACGTATTTCAGTTTAACAAAAGGACTTTTGCTATGGGACCAACCTTTCATTCCGCTCCAAAGTCTTAGAAGCCATTCTTAAAGTTATTGCTATATGAATACGTAATGCTTCTTTGCCCCAATAGTTTGCTAGTTAGCTAAACGTTTTTACGAACAAATAAATGGTGTCTTATTTATTTCAATGTAATTGAACTGAATAGGATTGTAACAATTCTTTCATATGCTGATATGCATATTAGTCTAGCTTTTTTGCTCTTAAAATACACATTTGAAAATTTGAGGATCTCACGTCACACCCATGTTTTTGTGATAGTGAAGTTACCTTTAAGTTGGCCTGAATGAATTTGTGCAAGATGATTATTTCAGTAAAACTAACCACTAATACATGACTATAAAAAAAGTCATGTGTTGTGTGTCAATGTCCCTCCAAAGAGCAAGTTAGGCTATTAGTATTTTAAATTTGTGAAATAATAAGTTATTTCCTTTAACTAAATAATATCAGCTGATTTAATTTTCCAACCAAATCATATTTTAACAATTGTACATTAAAACCAATAAAAAATTGACCAACTTAGTAAGACACAATTGATAGATATTTAATTAGTGAAGTTTATTTTTTGAACAAGAAAATTAGTGAAGTTGAGAAGATAAATGGGGTGTGATAATGAAGTAAAGTACAAATTAAATGGCCCAGATTTAAAATAAAAAAAGAAAACTAAAGCCGACTAACTAAAGGAACATTGGGCTTTGTAAAAAGCTGGCTAAAGGGAAGACTCAACTCAACTCCACTGTGTCGACTTCGACTCGCTCACTCACTTACACACGTTTCTCTCTCTTCTCTTTCTAATTCTAAAAATAAAAAAAACGTTTGAGCGAAGCCGTGGTAGCAAAAAAAGAAAAATCAAGATCTGCAGCAACGCGGCTCAGAACAACTCAACCCTCTCTCTCGGCTCAGATCCACTTTGCGCCGATCCCCCTCAGCTCAATTTTCTCCGCTAAAACTGAATTTCTGAGTATTTCTTTCTCATCAAGGCTTTTTCTTGTTTCAAATGTTGTGTTTAATGTTAATTGTTTATCTCATTTAATTCCAGATAATAATAATATTAATAGGTGACGATTACATGGACTGGGGTGTTAATAATAGTACTAATAATAATAATAATAATAATCACTTGAGAAAGCACAAAGGTGAGTTCAGCTTAATTTAGCTTGTTACTTTTCATCTTAGTCTGTGAAGCATTCATTTTAATGACTCATGTAGTAATTTTGTTTGAGTAGAAAACCATATGATGGATTTGGTACTGGTTTCAAATATGGATCCTGTAAATATTGGCCTTGCTTCTTCAGAAAATCCAATACCCATTACTTCACTGAAGCCAAGAAAGAAAACAATGACTTCAGTTTATTTAAAATTCTTCCAAACTGCTGCTGATGGTAAAACTAGGAAATGCAAGTTTTGCGGACAGACCTATTCCATTGCAACCGCCACAGGTGCACTATTTAACAACACTGGTTTGTTATGAAGATATTTCGTTGTAACTTTTGTCCGTATGTTCGCTAAAGTTTATTTATGTAGGCAATTTGGGTAGGCATCTCGCTAATCGTCACCCGGGCTATGATAAGACTGGTGAAGCTGTCAACAATTCAGCAACTCGGACGACTGTCATTGTCAAAAAGTCCCAGCCTCAAGGAAAAGCGAACCAGATTGATTATGATTATCTAAATTGGTTACTCATTAGATGGCTTGTTTTAGCTTCTCTCCCTCCTTCAACTCTAGAAGAGAAGTGGCTTGTGAATTCGTACAAGTTTCTAAACCCGTCCATACAAATTTGGCCTAGTGAGAAATATGGATCTGTACTCCATGAGGTTTTCAGAAGCATGAGGGAAGATGTAAGAGCGTTGTTAGAACAGGTTTCGTGTAAATTCTCCATCACACTAGATTTCTGGACTTCCTTTGAACAGATTTTCTTTATGAGTATAACGTGTCAGTGGATTGATGAAAACTGGTGCTTCAACAAGTTGCTTCTTGACATCTGTCGCATACCCTATCCGTGTGGTGGTGCAGAAATTTATCGCTGTATTGTGAAAGTTCTTAAATTTTATGATATTGAAAGCAGAGTCCTTTCGTGTACCCATGATAATAGCTCAAGTGCCGCGCATGCCTGCCATAGTTTGAAAGAGGACTTGGATGGTCAGAAAATAGGACCGTTCTGTTATATTCCGTGCGCTGCTCGAACTTTGAACATCATAATAGATGATGGATTGAGATCTGCGAAACAAGTGATTTCAAAGATCAGAGAATTTGTAATAGAGTTAAATGCCTCACCGGTAATCTCTGAGGATTTTATTCAAATCTCTACGGCCTATCAAGAAGGTACTTGGAAATTTCCTCTCGATGTTTCAGCAAGGTGGAGTGGAAGCTACCAAATGCTTGATCTTGTTCACAAGGTATCTCATGTTATTAAGATATCCTGTAATGCATCATTACACATGTATGATGTACTCAAATTCAAAATTAGAAGCAATGTGTAAAGCAATGTATATTTTTTTGTGATGCAGGCTGGTAAATCAGTGGATGTGATTATTCGTAAACATGAAGAGACACTAGGCAGTAGGATACTCCTGAGCTCTTCTGACAAAAGCGTCGTTAACATCACACATCAATATCTTGAGCCATTTTACAAAACCACAAACGATATCTGCACGAGCAAGGTGCTAACGGTTGGGCTTGTTCTTTTCTTCATGGATCACATCTCAGAAACAATTGCTACCTGCAGAGAATCACGCCCGAGCCCCGAGTGGCTAAAAAGTGCTGCAGAAGAAATGGCTAAAAAGGCTAGAAGTTATATTAGTCAAGTTTGCAACATATTTACATATATGACAGCTATTCTAGATCCTCGAATAAAGGGAGAGTTGATACCTGATAGTTTAAATTCGCAAAGTTTTCTGGATGAAGCAAGGACGCATTTTATCAGAAACTATTCTGTTAACCATTTCTCCTCCATGAGTTCTGGTTACAATGCTCAAGAAATCGAAGATGGAGGAATTGTTTCCTTTGCTGAGGAAATAGCTCGCAAAAAACGTAGGTCAAACATGAGTTCTGCAACCGATGAGCTTACGCAGTACTTATCAGAAGCTCCAGCTCCTATAGTAACAGACGTTCTTGAATGGTGGAAGATAAACAGTACACGCTACCCTCGACTTTCTCTGATGGCTAGAGATTTCTTGGCAGTACAGGCAACATCAGTAGTGCCCGAAGAACTTTTCTGTGGCAAGGGTGATGAAATTGACAAGCAACGATTCTGTATGCAGCATGATAGCACACAAGCTATTCTTTGTATCAAGTCATGGATTCAGGTTGGCATCAAGTTTAAGTTTAAGTCGAATGAGATAGATTATGAGAGGTTGATGGAACTAGCAGCTGCATCTACAACAGATAATAGCCCTTCAAGCTCTGAGAAGAAGCCAAAATAGTCATAGAAGATGGCAGCACTGGAGGGTGACAGTACTTAATTAACATGCAATGTAACTGTCACTTTTAAGTATATCTTGACTTTGGCTCATTTTCACTTATCATTAACTTAGATATGTTAAATGGTTTTATTTTTTGTTGTTTAAAATCACATTTTTTGATGTATTACATTGATAGTTTAATGTAATGTATCATGCTGTACAGTTCTGAATTCTGGAAATTACTAACCCAAAGAAATATCAAATATGCACCTTGATGATGGAACTCTGCGTCTGCACACCAATACAAACATTTATTTACCGAGTTTAAAAAGATATACACTGTCATACAATCACATCTCACTGGATGTTTGTTGAGATATTTAAACCACAGATTACTTAAAACAAGCTTAGTTCACTATTTTATCAATTATGAAAATAATTCAGTTTCCAAAATAAGCCTAAAAAATAGAGAATTAAATTAAATATTGTGTAACAAGTGCTGATTGATGGTTCAGTCCCATACATCACTACTAATCCCATCTGGACCTAAAATGTTTGTGACAAATTCAACTTTGACAGAACGGCAGACTTCAATAGTGCTTCCTTTGTTAACACTTTTCTCCGCGCAGGAAAAAATGAGAGGGTGGTACCTGCAAATACTTTTATACTAAAGTTAGGGATTTAATAAGGCAAAGAAAAACATTTTTAGATTTTAGAGTGTGTACGTTGATTATATGACATTATATCCTCTTTATAGGCAAACTCTAGGATTTTCGAGAGTCTAAAACCTTCTCCAGATGGATAGGTGTCATAATATTATTCATTACATTATCTAACTGTTATTTCTCTGAAATTATGATTGGCTTACATTTTGGTAAAACTATTTTAGCAGCAACAAGATGTTCCATCATTCTGTCTTCAACATGTCGAGTAAGATGTCCCAACAAAGAGATAGGACATCGCGTCTGCAGCAGCTGTTTCAGCTGACTTATTAAGTTCTGAATATTTGGAGAATATTCAGTTAGCTTATGTGGCATCCAAGATTGACAAATCAGAATATTATTATGTTGGTTTTTGAAGATTGCGTAGTTTCTAATTACGGAGACATTTTAGGAAACTAATGATTGAAGACCTATTATCTTGGAGAAGAATGTGCAGACTTTGTGCAACCCAACCCAGTCCAGTATAATGTTATAAATAGACTGGTGTATACCTAGTATTAGGTGGAACTTACATGTGTATTTTGTTAGGGTTTTATAATCCTTATCGTTGGGTTGTAAGTTGTGTCAGATGTTCTTAAGCTTTTAAGCATAAAACATTTGTGTG